ACAAGCATGATAAAAGCCCCCTGATGTACACATTGCAGCTCTTGCTGTTTCTTGCATGTGACAAAAATCCGCCTAAATCACAAGAAACTTGTAGTGAACCAAACAATGATCATGAAAAAGTATGAATGAATACAGCCAGCCATGCCAATGTGGTGAATCAAATGCAATTTCTTGCATGACTTTCTGCTCAATATTATACAGTGTGTGATAGCCTATGCCGAATAATCAATGGTGTGGTCACAAATGATCATGAAGATTAATCATGATCACATACTTCATAGACACTATAACATTACATTGATGGGCAAAGACTATAAATCATATCCATGCCCCTAGACATGGCTACATCCGAGGTCATCATTTTGCCAATGCCATTCTTGCATGTCATTATTGCTGGTTGCATAGACTAGACTATTAATGTACAACTATTTACACATATCGGCCTTAATTGGTTTTAGATGCTATTTTATTGAGATGCATCGCGACAACTGTGGCCGTGAAGAACCGGTAGGTTAGGTAATTGTTACTAGTCGCACCGTGCACACACATCATAATAGTTCACAGGCCATAGGCCTAGTAAATCGCTGTCATCATTTATATACGATGCAATATTTATTTTTGGTCATTAGTTTCTCTGATTCATGACATCATGTGCCAATAAATCCTGAAAATTGGCTTTGCTAAGCGATGAGTCGTTTAGTACAAAACACTGAATGATCATATCATGGTGTGCAGAGTTTTAGAGGTAAAGCAATTGTTAAGAATATATTAAAATTTGTGGAAAAGGGCAAAGGCTCTTACCTTAGTACAATGTCTGTATGGCGTCCTGGGCTGGCTGGCAAAATAATCACGTCATCGAAAGATGCGTGTACGTGTACTGTAGACAATTTCCATGACGCTGCATTGCATGCGTAGAGTCAACGTCACGATTTCTGCGTATCAATTTTTCTCCGCCTTTTTCAACAAATAATTCACTTTTTTCTCATGGGAAAACGTCGTCAATCTTATTTTATTAGCCTGAACTTTGTCTTGACAGCGCAAATTATACCCAAATAAACGTCTTTGGATGATTTCTGGCACCCAAAATTGATTCTCGATTCAGTCCTAATTATGCGTTTAGGAATGACCTGGTGATCCAAAATTGACCTCGAATGAAAATACTGCCGACTACGGCGGGTCCCGGGATCATTGCGTCAAGAGGTGAGAGACTACTTACCGCGACATGCAGTTTCGGTGACTGCGACCCCAATCATATTTTAATTTTAGTAAGCTACAAAAACATTGTTATGCAAATTAGCTTTAGTTGAAAATTTGAGTTGCTCGGCGATTGGTACGTGAATTTGAACCAAAATATTATCAGCAAGACCCAGAGTACGACAGCGACATCCACTGAAACGTTCTTGGAGACAAATGAACACGTCAGGCAAAAAAGACTGTTTCGAGTCGTGGCGTAAAATAGAGGCACATACCATTTTGACGCTTGGGAGGAATGGAAATCAGTTAATTTGAGGGTGTCACAATAAGCGAGGGAGCAAATCGATTTTATGCTACGAAAAATGCAGACCATGAACGTACTTTTTGGACTTTAGTACTACGTCATTTTTGTTTGATTACCTAAGGTTTTTAGATTCATGTGCTGCAAGTTACAGAGCATATACCAAAGCGGCCGTCCCTCAGCAAATTATGAAGCAAAGGAATTTTCGATGTCGAAATCGCGAAACTCTCCCTTTTTACGCAAACTTGGAAGTTCGAATTACTAAACGAAGTATAGGACGACGAAGCTTAGATATCCAAGAACCAACACATACCAAAAAGTTATCTCAAAAGTGAATATTCGTGGTGTATTTTACCTCTAACCGAACCGGAAGTGAGAATTTGTTAGTACTCTAAATATACAAACATATTTCAATATAATGTAGTAACTATGACACGACACACCGATATTGTGTTACAGTGTCTTATGGTGATGATTAAAGTCGTGTAATAAAATGTTTTAATTAAACGCACGGACTTATTCATGAACTGGAAGACAAGACGTACATCATGACAAATCGACTCTCATAATTTTATCTGAATCACCCAAAGGTCGTGCTGAACGGAAATTACTTTCACTGCGACAATAAACAAGTGTTGGCAGACCTGACAAGTTCCACGACACCAGCATTTTCATTAAGAGATAATAAAATAAGACACATGTCCATATTAACTTACGTTGGTTATTATAAAATCAGTAATTTGCTGAGTTATGTACAGCTAAACGGTACCTATACTCCATCAGAACATCTCCTGTAATGAAAATCGCCGAACCCCCGTTCGGCAGATATGAATTTGGCTGATACGGCTAAAATGGTTTTCATTATCGATAAACTATTTCGTTTACCAAATTATCACATGTTTATTCAGACGTGATTGTGATAACAAGTCGTTTCTACTCCACCATGAGGCTCGTAATGTGCGAGTGTTCTTCATCTATTCTTAGTATATTGTGTGCATATGACCATGTGTCAATCGATCCAATCGGTAATATGAAATTACAAGACGCAATATTTTATTCAAGTACACATTCGATCTCTCACTGCACATTGTTTTCACATCAAACAACGCAGTATTCGTTCAATAAAAATAAGTGATTGTAATTACCCTTGCGTATAAGTATACCTAGAGCGCACGTACATTACTATAATCATAATTTATTTATAAACTCAAACAAAGATACTAGCGAGTACAGGCAATTGCGAAAAAAAAACATTAAAGGAAATGACATGCAATGTCTCTTGCTGAACCACGTTCGATTACATAAGCGTTCAAGTGCATGCAACAAATCCTCAAGAGCCGTATAACACTTTTCGGGCGGTTTATGGAACCCGTTTTTAAAACCACTCAGTAGAAAAATCTAGATCGTTCATCTTCTAGCTTACATTCTTTTCTGACTATTTTGTTTATATCACAGCATACATTTTTTATTCATTTTAGTCTTAGTTTTTTACCTAGGATGGTTCCTACGCCTTCGTCGACGGCGCATCCCGCACACCATATATTCTGATTGCCTTTGCAAATACATTTATCCTAACACTTTACATATTATATTCTCATGTAGATGTCTTTTCGATTGCATGTCTTGCCTCCGCGTCGAAGCGCGGAAGTGGACAGTTTTATTTTTTCACAAAGGACAATTTCACTGTACGAAATTCACTACCATTATGAAGGACACTGGTCTAGGAAGAATGGGTTTGAATGATAGAAAGGTAGAAAGGCACGAAGGTAAAATAAATGCAAATTATTTTGTTTTGAGCTGAATTTGTTTTCAGGATGATATAGCTGTAATGTTGTTCTTCCCTCGATTAAATGTTTTTTTTTTGTTTTTTTTTTAAATATATGTTTTATGAAATTTTCTCTGTATTATTTACTTTAAATCCCCTCGAGTTTGTAATGGATAATACCTGATGGAATAACAAACATAACAAATATTTTAAATTCCTTTGGTGTATAAACAATGGTCGTCCTACTTTCCAGGAAGAAATACATTTCTTCACAACCTTTCGCTTGGTCAAGGCATGCAAGGATTTCAGCTGTAGGCGTTCCCGCATGTTTCATTTTGTTATGTAATCACATCTTTATGTACTTCAATTAGGAAAGATTTCACATATAAGATCATACGGCCATGTCAAAGACAAATATGTAAACCTTCGATACCTTCCAATCACCTGAAAATTACCTGATTAAAGCTTGGAAACGTCTCAGTTCAAACTCGTTTGTACACAACAGTCAAAGTCGCCATCTTTGTTTACATGAGACCCATAAATCTCGCGCATGCGTGGCGCGACGACTACCGCCCCTTTAATCGCAGATTCAAATAAAATGGCGCACTGAAGTCAAATGGCAAAATCATTGAAATCAACGGGGCAGCAAAATTAATACAAGTTCCTATTTCAATAATACAAGCTCTTTTTTGCGATAATACCGTGTTTTCACTAGGCATACATTTTTTAAAGTGTTTATAGTTTCGACACGTACGATATTATCTCAACCGTGGCAGGCTGTTTTATTATTACAACGCTTTAAAACGTGGTGCTTTCCCTAGCACAATTTTGAAAAGAGTTTACTTGCAAAAGATTATTTTAATTTTGAAAGGTTCTTCCACTAATAACGTGTTTGAAAATTCACCATCACCAATATATCAAATGATGCGTTTCGCGATTAATATTGCACAACAGTGTTTCCGAATATTAAATTAATTTCCGTAATTACTTGCCACAACGTTATAAATCTAATTAAACAGTGCACTGGTCGTAACACTATTAAATTGCCCGGGGACGCGGGACTATTCTGCACGTCAATGCGTGGAACTCTTTATACTCTTCGTGTCACATAAAACATACAGGTTGCCTCAAGTTTCAAATAATTGAAGACGAAACAGTTGCGGAAACAGTCCCCGCATTCTTTGCTTCAGTTGGATGTTGTCTGGAATGTTAATTTACTTGGAACTTTTTGTTCTGGCTTTATAAATTGAGAAAGAATTGAAAAGCCATATCTCCATTATTTATTCATGAAGGCCAAGTACTAACTTCATATAATATTAAAGACGCTTTACATTGTGTAAAGTCATTAAACGTGCTGAAGACGCACTGCATTCAGTCAAGCATTAACCTCGTGGGATTAATATGAGAAATATAATGATATAATTATAGATAGATCGTCATCAAAGCTATCAATTATCTGGGGGTGAGTAGCATAAATCAATATATTTATAATGCATGTCTTCATTATAATAATTACCTCGATACAATCAGACAATTTCCCGACACTGCGTAATGTAATTCATATATACATTATGACATCACTCTATGTTATACATATTCAATAGCACCACGTCAAATACTCCGACACAGTCGATCATCGGTGTTCACAGACGCATGCATCGGTCAACGTTGTTCACTATCAAAAACGCTGCCGGTCGTCTACTTTCATAATCTATGTGAAATCGTTGTACTTCTTTCGCAATGGAGTTTTATTGGGTTATGTTGACTATTGCTATTCTGTCAAGCGTTCTAAACAACACTGGTAAGTCAACAAAATGTGTATATATCATGATGATATAAGTAATATCTCGGTCATTTTCATGCTGGTTGGGGATCTCATAATGATTTCATTTCGCAATCATGATGGCAGTTGTTTTTTACTACAATTAGCGTTCACCATCAGGACTACAAAAATCACATTTCCTTAAAGTACAACGCAAATAGAATATATTTCCTAATAATTTTGGTTGAAATAAAAATTGACACAAAAATAATTGTGTGAAATGCGACTTTTTAAAGATGCGTTGCCTTCTTTCGTCAAAACCAAGGGATTTGTAGAGAACGACTGGTTTCAATATTCAATTTTTGTTGGGAGATTTAATGAGCTTGTAGTTAAATAAAATACAACAGCTACAAAGATGACTTAGGAGGGCACCAATGACACCTGATGTAGACATACGTTTTCATACAGAAACCACTCGATTATGACACAGAATGATATGACGGGCGTAACACGTGGTGCTGGGTGCGTGCACTCTTTTCGAAACACCTGACATCATTACACTTATACCACTCTAAGTCACGTGTACCATTGTTCTAAGCGTTCTTTTATTACTGTAACACCTATTGTTCTTATGCAGATTACATTGATATTCAAATTAGCAAACCTTACAGTTTATTAATAGACTCAATTAACATGAATAAAACTGTAAGGTTTATTAATTTGAATATCAATGTAACCGTGAAGGTTTACTAATTTACATATGATACGTAACACCACGTCACTCAGTGAAATATTCAGGACAGATGGAGGGTGCTTTAAAGCACCTGCTTTTAATGAATTCATCAGTACAAAATTAGAACACAATATTTACTTTGTTATCGCCATGTTGAATTTGAATAGAAATGCCTTGAAAGGAACCTCTAGATTCACTTTGAATGGTGGTCTCTATTGGTTGCGTACGATGAGGTGATGACACGCGTTCGTTTTGGTCTTTGATGCCAAGTTCAACTACTGATTTTGGCTGCTGCAGAGAATCAGACACTGTTTTCAGCAGTGAAGTGCTGGTTCGCGTGTATTTGCGCAGACCATCATCAGAGCGGTGGCCGGTGCGTTCTTTGATAAGTTGCTCATCGAAGCCTTTCTCGTATAGAGAAGTAGCTGCTGTAACCTTGAAATAACATAACATTTAATTAGTTATACGTTAAAAAATAACAAAGAAGTCAGCATATCAAGCTCGCAATCCAAGTGCATAATTACTAAAACTTAATATTATATTGCCTCGTACAACGTATATATCATGATGTACAAGTAATATCTCGGTCATTGTCATGCTAGTTGGGGATCTCATAATGATTTTATTTCGCAATCATGATGGCAGTTATTCTTTACTACAATTCGCGTTCACCATCATGAAAAAAATTCGTATTTCATTAAAAGACAACGCAAATAGAATATAGTTGTCCATTTCTGACATTTCCTAATAACTTTGGTTGAAATCAAAATTGACACAAAAATAATTGTGTGGGTTAATTGTGTGAAATGCGACAATGGTTGAGACTGACGGTCGATAGATTAATGATTAATTATTGTTCACTATTATGATTAAACATTCATATTAAAGGACAACGCAAACAGAATATAGTTGTTCATTTCTGGCATTTTCTAATAATTCACACAAAAATAATTGTGTGGGTTAATTGTGTGAAATGTGACAATGTTTGAAATTGACGGTCGAAGGTTTAACGGTGCTTCTTCTGATGATTGCAGGTGGCTCAGCCTGTGACGTAGAAGAACGGTTATATAATACGATCTTTGAAGGTTATAACAAACATGTCCGACCTGTCAAGTCCTATAACAAACCCATTGTCTTAGAGTTTGCTTTGTACATACTCCAGATTCTTGATGTGGTAAGTAACAAAGAATTTGTGCTTATAACGACAAAATTCCCAACGCAATTAAAATATCTTAACTACATCTCATATCACCGCACCGAATAAATAAGTTTGTTTCCCGGGTAGATTTGTTTCTTTGAACAATCTTTCGCGTAAACTTGACATTATAATGAAATTGAAGCTTCGGATACGTTATTCATCCAAGTTTGTTTGTCCCCAACGTATATTTACAAAGAAAAAAAATTATTAATTTAAGTGTCATAAATTCATATCATTAGACAATATAGTCTGGTGGGTTATGTTGAGGTGAAAGTATGTATCATTATTAGTATACTAGAATGTCTTATTGATAACATTTTAGTCGACTTTGGGAACAAATTGTGCTAGTTTCCTAATTGATTTATTTGTTTATTTGACTGTATGAAGATGATTTTTTACAGTATTTTTTAGTTAAAGAGATACAAAGAAGCAACATTTTTTCAATTTTACATTTTCGAGACATTGATGTCGTTTTTTCCATCAACAATTCTAAATTTAATGATTATATTCCAATGATACAGCTGCAGTTGAGATTAATGATACAACCTGAATCTGCTTTTTCTGCTTTATACTTAGATCTGTGCCTTGAATTTGACTTTGGTCAGCACTCTACTAGACTATATGAAAAGAGAGATGATTTTAATTTATTTAACATAAATTTTCAACATCCTTGCAGCAATATCTCATTCTTACTTACCCAAGGGATATACATTTTCGAACTCATTCGATATGCCAGGGCCTGCAGTACATATGTAGACTTTTTAAGGATACATTGCCTTTTTTCGTCAAAACCAAGGGTTTTGTGGAGAACGACTGGCTTCAACATTCATTTTTTTTTAGATTTAATGAGCGTGTAGTTAAATACAATACAGCAGCTACAAAGATGACTTCAGAGGGCACCAATGACACCTGATGTAGACATACGTTTTCATACAGAAACCACTCAGTTATGACACAGAATGATATGACGGGCGTAACGCGTGGTGCTGGGTGCGCACACTCTTTTCGGAACACCTGACATCAGTACACGTATACCATGGAGTCCATATACATTTCTCTTACTGATTTGACTATGCTGCGTTTTTTTATTTTTTGGGGTTTCTTTTTCGATCCATTCCATTTTTTTTTGTTCTTTCCCTATTATTTGTGTTATTTCCCTATACGACTTTTGTTTGAGGATCTACGCTTATATATGGGTATGTTACTTCCACTTCTCTCTATCTGGCATAGGACGAGAAAAACCAGCTTATGAAGACGAGCTGCTGGACTCAACAGGTGAATATTGTCATGGTAACAATAATACTTCTCAGTATAAGTATTGAATAATAACAATGGTTTGCTCGTAAATATGTGCTTCAACAAACAAACTAAATTACAGACCTAAATTATTGCCAGAGTACGATTTCCATGCCACACTGTTGTAGTTTTGCATTTCGTGACAACGGATACTTATTTTATCTCTCCCATTAATTTAATTGGTCAATACGTGATAAATATCACGTGAATGCCGTGTGTAGAATGACAACTACATGGATACGACAAAGACAATATTTCATGTGTGCTGATGCACGATTATTTTGTTCACTGGCCCAGGGGTTAATCGACAATATATATATATATATATATATATAAGCAAACTTATAATTATTTTAGACAATCGTTGTATTGGAATTAACATCACATACACACATCTACGTGACAACGATAGCAATAACATTGAGTTAAATTAAATTAAATTAAATAAATTTTAATTTAATTGGAATTTAGGATAAAGTAAACGGATAAGTTGTATGTATACATACCACAA